TGTTCATTTTACAGTCCTAAGCAACACAAGCTTCTCAACAACCTAAAATCCTCATCAGTCTAAGCTCCTCACGTTCTTAGGATGACCACCACCCTCTGAGACATCTGGTACTTCCTCTGATCGTAAAATCCTTGTCAATGTAGAATTATCACTGCTTTTTGAGTCATCTGTTACTCCCCATGAATCCAATAAATAGTGACAAGCTCAGAGTGCCTTCATCTTTGCTGCCCAGCGCAGCATTGATCAGGTCTAGAACTTAACTTCTTCTTTAAATCTTATTTCCTTTCTTTATTCCTTACCTTGTGCTGTTATGGCTTACAGACCAGGACCCATGCAGGAGTTCTGGTAATGTCCCCTTTCCTGGTTCCCTACATGCTATCACTGTTATCCAATGAAAAAAAAGACATTTTTAACTGAAAACACCAGAAGGGCATGGTCTCAGCACGAAAGATGATTCTTCTTCTTCTTCTTTTTTTTGGGGGGTGGTACCAGCAATCGAACTCAGGACCTTGTGCTTTTGAGGCAAAAGATGATTCTTTAAGCCAGATTTAAGACTTGAATAAAATCTCACAACATTGTCCTTTTGTCCTCCTGTCACCTGGTCCAGATGAAATTCATTCCTGGCACTGCTCCTGATGACCAGATGACCACAGCACTGTCCAGTGCCAATGTCCCATGTGACCTACTCTTTCCACATGGCTTCGAGCCACCTGCAGTTGCAGATCTAACTGACAGAGTCCCCTCTTCCTGCCTCTCAAATGGGGCTTTATATAAAATATTGTATTATATATCTATTCTCCTCTATAATGAAAAAGTTGGGAGTTCATTTATCATATGTTCACTAACAAACTTCAGTATTTGTGAATTTGGTATTTGGGATTCCTTTTGATTTTTTAAAGTCTCAGGCATACACAGAACACTGAGTACACTGAAACGAGATATTTAAAACACACACACACACACACACACACACACACACACACACACACACAAAGCCCTGGGCCCAGAGCACTCGCTGTCCAGGGCAGAAGCACTGTAGAGGGGGCCTAACCCACAATGCTCCCCAGACTCCCTTTTCCTTCCTCCTTCACTTCCCTCATGCCTTGAATCTGTTCCCACATTTTTCTCCTCCAAACTCCATAAAAATTATTTCTTTCTACTGTGGCTTGGATGTGGTTTCAGGGGCTCCAGGGGCTCCTGTGGTGGGAGCCTGGAACCAGTTTGGTGATGAGGTAATGCTATGGTCACTGGCTGCCCATAGCAGAAGGCATCATGGTTCTCACAGACAAGGTTGGTTCTTGGAAGATGGTTCTTACAGAAGACCGTGACCGGCGTTCATCAGTCCCTCTGGCTTCCTGCCTCACACACAGGCCCACCATGATACCAATCACCATGAGTTGAAGCATCCTGGGGAAGAGGGGGATTCCAGGTCCGGGACCAGGCTGTTGGGATTTTCATCCTTTAAAGTGGTAAGCTAATAAACCTCTTTTCTGTTTTTAAGGATCACCACCACCTTTTGACAGTCCTGGAGACCCAACTCAGGAACCTTGAGCATGCTAGGCAGTGCCCTCCACTGAACTGCACTCGGCCGCCTGTTCTTTCCACGTTACCCCGCCTCAGGTATTCTGTCATGATGGAAGCGGTCAAAGGAACTCCCGAGTCCAGTCTTCAGGCCGCTAGCCTAGAGGTCAGGACAACACAAATCAGCAAGGAGCATGTGTGCCCCACCGCCACCTCCACAGAAATGCAGTGGCTGCTGTTCACTGTGAAGGACCCTGTCACGTTTTTCCTACACCCTCCTGCGGGTTCCTGTCCTGTTGACAGTGCTCAGCCGTCACCCCATGCAAGTCTCACCCCAGCTACAAAGAGCGCTGCCTTGTCAATGGTCACACCCTCCCTGGCGTGGCCCACATCCTGTGGTCCATGTGGAAGTAGAACAGCTGGCCACTTTCACCCGACAGAACAACGCCAACAGGCCGCCCAGCTCCCAGGGACCATGAGGCTGTACAAAGCATCACGCTCAGGGTCTTCCTCCCTCTGCCCTGCCTCCTTCGCAGCCTTACTCCAGCATTACATGGCCTCTGAATCAGAATCTGCTTTGTGCTACCTAACCTGTACCACAGGCTCCACCATCCCAGCAGAGCCACGGGCAGGCCTTGCTCCTCCAGGTGCTGCCAGGGGGAACCTTCCTCACACACCTTGGTAAGCGAACCCTCCAGTTTTGATGTGTCAATAAAGGAATTTGGATTTTTTTTTTCCTCTTTTAACAAAGACCGGCCTTCAGGACCATTGTCTAGCTGTAGACTCAGATACTGCCTCACAGAACCCTGGAAAACTGACCGGTAGCCCCTCTGTGCTGCCCCGCCCATCCCTTCCAAGGTTTAAGCTTTGTAGCACATACTTGGAAAGCTACAAGCACATATGATTTAAGGGGGAAATAAAAACTCAGATTAAGTAGCTCCAAAATCTAATCCCCATCACATACACAGTGGCGGTGGCAGGCTGTTGGGCGAGAGTGCTATTCTGGGCTTCTGCGACCAGTGACACGCTCTCTGTCATCCCAGCCCTGCGCTGTTTGTACCAAAGCTCAACAAATTCCAGCTGCCTGAGAGCAGGAGGCCAGGACATTGAAAAGAGAAGGATGTCTTGTGCTTACATTCTTATTTCCACACATTTTGCTCTCTAGGCCCCGAAGCCAAGTGAGGATGAGACAGAAGCAAGACTCAGAACTGATAGGATAGGACTGCTACTGCTGCCGCTGACCGAGATCAAAGGCAGAGACCCTCTGGCAAGGGTCCAAGGTCCAAACACACCTCAGCGGCCTGCTCTAGAGAGGACAGATCCCTGCTGCATGGCTGGAGCCGGTTCTATCCGGAGCTCACTCTGTGACAGCAGGAGTCCCAGGGACCCCCAAAGGAGCAGGGCCCCCAGAAGCACCAAGTCCCCAGGACGAAGGCCAAACCCCCACAGACCCAGCACATGCTGGCAGAGCAAGGGCACCACCCATGGGTACGATTTCTGCACTGATTGCTGAGGAACTGATCGAGAAGTTCACAATCAGGAAGGTCTAGAAAGAAGCTCTTTCGTTTTCAGCATATGTTTTAGCTTCATGATGTATGTATGGCTTGGTATTTTTATTTTGGATTCCAGGGACTGCATAATCTTTTCAACACTTAAGACCTTTACACTTGATCTTAGCCAAAAGGCCGAGAAGCGATCACTTAAGACCTTTAAAGGCCTTTCCCTCCTGCCGGGGAGGCAGGAGGCCTTGGGATGGAAAATAACACAGAGAGTGGACAGGAGAGAGGTGATAGGGAATGGGGGTGGGGGATGGCAGTGAGAATTCAGGCTGTGCCAGGCAAAGCCGTGAGGCCCTAAGGCCACACCATGCTGTGTGACTGGTGAGAAGCAGCCCTCCTGTGCTTTAATAAGGGACACACCCTGCCCTTCTGAGCCTGCTCCGTCTCCGGGTGCTCATACCACAGGTGTGCACAGGTGTGTGAGTGTGCGTGCGTTCACACCACAGGTCAGCCACACACATACTGAGGAACATTGTCACAACTTCCCTAGATGCCTAGGACACCTGCACACAATGACAGAACAGGCATCTCTGGCACACCCCCACAGCAGCCCCTCAGGCCTTAAATCTCCAGCCATTCTGGGATTCACAGAAGCTGCAATTAGCCCTGGCTTTGTCCTAAGATAGTGGTTCTCAAAGTGAGGTACCCAGGAAATGGTTAGAAGTGCTTTGGTTTCTGTCTTCTCCCTCTGGCAGAGCCCTGAGCTGTTTTGGGGTCTCCCTTGGGGCTACAATTTATGCCATGGATTTTATGTGCCATTTCCTATACTGAATATACTTTTACACACATTATCTCATTTAAAACTCACAAATAGACTGCGAGATGTACAGTGTTTCTCCCCTATATGTTTCTGGTGGGGTAGCTAGTTCCTCTACTTCCCCCAGAATCCCCACCCCATCCACACTGCCCTGGAACGCAGCCCCCCACCCACCCACAGTTGGCACGGGAGAAAGTCCTTGTCATCTGACTGCATCCCCCCCACTGAAAGTGTCCAAAGACCCCCTGGATGTTCTAAATGTCTCATTGATGAGTTCTCTTGAGAAAGATTAAGAAATTTACTCCAGGTAACCAGGCTCAGGCTCTCAAGTGCAAACTCGGATTGCTTTCTAGATGCAGCTCCTGTCCCGGCCTAAATGTAAACACCTCTGAGGACTGAGCCCTCCTTGTGCCACCCCCACCCACCCCGTGCCAATTTCTCCGCGGTATCTCCTTGCCGCGCAGCAGTTCTAAATCTCCCAAGACAAGGTCTAGCCATCCAAGCAGGGGGTGGGACGAGGGCGGGAGAGCAGCCCCACCTCACAAGTAGGCAGCCCCTCTGCCAAGCTCTCTCCTGCCTGCGCCACCAAAGAGCTGCAGAGAGGCAGCGGCCACGAGCAGGCAGCTGAGGGCCCGGATCCCCCAGTCCGGCCTACACCCCAAAGCCTAGCAGGACAGCCCTGTTGCAGTTGGCCTGTGGGACTCACAGAGTCCTCTGCACATGCATCTCGTGTGAAATGTTTCCTGAGTAGCACTAGGAGAGACACGAATTCGAATTCTGACTTCTCGCCTACTTCCTGAGTGATCTCAGCTGATCACATCCCCTCTTGGGCTCTCAGTCTTTCATCTCTTTGGTGAAGAAGTTGAGCTGATGATTTATGAGGATGTCTCCTGCTCTGAAACTGGGATTTGGACTCCAGATTTCCACGTGACTTTCCAGAGGCCTGGCCAGGACACAGGAATCTGACATGACAATGGCTTTGCACCAGGCTTTCTGCTCAGCGCAGTTCATGTTTGCTTGAGACATAGGTGCGCCCCCACCCCCACCCCGGCTGGACGAACCTCACTTTGATCTGCTCCTCTCTCCAGCCCCCTTGCTCCACACACTCAGAGGATTTCTCCTCCATAGCAAATCCAGGAGGAGATCCAGGTCCAGAAGCAGCCATGGGGGCCTGTGACATTGTGACTGATACCAACATCTCATCTGGTCCCGAGAGCAACACCACAGGCGGCACAGCTTTCTCCATGACCGGCTGGCAGCTGGCGCTGTGGGCCACAGCCTACCTGGCCCTGGTACTGGTGGCTGTGACGGGCAATGCCACAGTCATCTGGATCATCCTGGCCCATCAGAGGATGCGCACGGTCACCAACTACTTCATTGTCAACCTGGCCCTGGCTGATCTGTGCATGGCTGCCTTTAACGCCGCCTTCAACTTTGTCTACGCCAGCCACAACATCTGGTACTTCGGCCGTGCCTTCTGCTACTTCCAGAACCTCTTCCCCATCACAGCCATGTTCGTCAGCATCTACTCCATGACAGCCATCGCCATCGACAGGCAAGAGGGGACAGCAGGGAAGCTGGGGGTGTGGGGAGGGGGTGGCACCTTGCTGGGGTTCAGAGGGAGTGCGGTTCCTGGCCTGTATCACACAGCAAGCTAGGGGAGAACCCAGGGAACTGCCTCCCGGACCTGGCCATGATTCAGAGCTGTGGATCTGGAAGATGGGGCAGGGTCGGGGATAGACGCAGGAAGGCCTTGGCACTGCGGCTGTTGGAGGATAGAGGGATGAGTGGGCAGTGTCATGGGGACCTCTGGTGTGCTCTTCTCTGAAGCTGACCTTTGATGTCCTTCTGTCGCTACAAGGAGATACTACTTTTCTGTTCCATGTTGCATCTAGTTGTAACAGGGCCAGTCGTCTACGGGACACTGCTCTTCTGGGAGGCAGAGTGTGACCTTCTGAGGCTTGGCCTGGAGCAGAGGTGTGCAGGATTAGAAGCGGCGTTTGAGAGCTGTTTGGGGCAGGCAGGGCTGCTGGTGCCTGGGCGAGTGTAGTGCAGACTGACAGCAGACAGGAAGGGAGGTGGGAAAAGTGACAGGGTATTGGGGAGCCGCAGAAGAGCCTGCCACCCTCAGACAGAGCCCTCATCGGGTGAGGCGTGTCCCTCAAGGTCTCCCCACATCCCTACCCCACACCACTGGCCCAGCAGCTGGAACCCACAGCTGCTCAGTGCTCAGCAAGCATTCTCCTACTCAGAGGTATTCTTGAGGACTTCATTCGGGAAAGTGTTATCCCCTAATTAAAAGTGAAAAGCAAAGCCTAACTTCTACCTTTAACACCCAGGGAAACTGAGGCTAGAGAAGGCAGGATCACCTGATGCCACATCGACAGTCAGGGGCAGAGACAGAGGCCCAGGACCTAGCCCTCTGGGCTGTTAGTGGGGTGGGGGGTGATTTTATCATGTCATTGCACCCCAACACTATCAGAGATAGCCTAACACCCAAACTAAGTAACCCAGCCTAGCCTGGAATTTGCAGTGATCCTCCTGCCTCAGCCTCCTCTCTGCTGGGATTATGGGTCTACACCACCATGTCAGGCTGCAATAATGCAGAAGTGAATCCGGGTTCCTGCTTTTGCTAGGCAAACACTCTACCACTGAGCTATATCCCAGCACATCCCCATCCCTGCCGTTTTTTTCTGAATGTCTCACTGAGACTTCTTTTCTTTCATAGAACAAGAATTTCAGTGCTGTGTCTGGCGCAGCTCGGGGCCCTGGGGGTGGGGTGAAAAGCCAGTAGGAAAGATTCCTCCAAGAACGGCCATGGACTGTGGGGAGACACCAGAGAGCTCACTAACTTGAGTGGGGACAAGAAAGTTACAAAATTCCAAATGTAGACAGCAGAACAGCTTCTTGTGACTCCAGCAGTGCCCAGGGCTTTGGCATCAATAGAAACCACAGATTCTTGCATTGTTGCAGAAATCATGAAAGACGGCTAGGCGTGGTGGCGCACACCTGTGATCCCAGCTATTGGGGAGGCTGGGGCCGGAGGGTCACGAGTTTGAGGCCAGTCTAGGCAAGATAGCAAGATCCTGTCTCAAAATAAAATAAAAAGGGCTAAGGATGTAGCTGAGGGGTAAGAGTGCTTCCTTAGCATGTTCAAGGCCCAAGTTCAAACCCCACCATGATCCCGGCCCCCCAAAACCTCAACAAAGCAACTGTGCTCACCATTACTTAAAAATTACTGCAGATTTCACATCTGCTAGGTCTTGTTTAGTGGCTGATAAAGAAGTGCGGATTTTACAATGTCCCAAGTTTGTTTTCTATTTTGCTCACTGTATTTCCATAGGAATCATGTTCTTTTGGGGGTCCTTTGTTCGTGGACCCTTTGGGTCTTTTGATCTTTGAAAACAGGGGCTCACTCTCCTCAGCCACTTCAGCCACACAGGCCCCAGACTTTCCACAGGCCCCAGCCCCACAGCGGAAAGTCAGGAAGTCAGGGCAGCCGCTCAGGCCAGGAGGGTTCAAAGCCTTCCAGCCTCTATATCCTGATGCAAAGGAAGGCTATAATAGTCCCTGCCTAAGACCACTGGACACAGGGCTGCCAAAGGGCAGTTCAGACCTCCACAGTCCCTGAAGACAGGAGAGCAAGATGGGCCTGTTCTGGCTGATATCACCGAGGAGACTGTCTCTCACAGACACTGATAAATACAGAAAGTAGGAGGAGTTCCAGGTGGAGAGAGGAGGAAGCACCCCACAGAAGGCCATTTTGGGCTGTTCCCTGACCACAGTGAGCCTAGGAAGCCATGGAAAGCAGTGACAGAAGAGGCTAGAAAGTGCACTGGCCACACACAGAGGGCCTTGAATGCCAAGTTCAAAGGTCTGGGCTTGTACTGTCCAACATATACCTCTCTAAATTAACACTGATTACAATGTAAAGCCACCATCCCGAGGCTCCACAAGGCACTGCATTAGTGCCAAACAGGTAGGTGCTTATTTACCATGTCCCCACCACTGCAGAAAATTCCAATGGGCAGCATTGGACCAGGTTTGTCCAGGAGACAGAACAGCTGTGCTGAGGTTTCTGACGAAGGAGGCCTGGCCTAGGGCGAGGCTCAGACAGGGCCGAGCTGCAGGCTGGAGTCACCTGGGCCTGCCCGGGGCTGGACTTAAGTGCGGTCACATGGCTGTCGTGTCATGGCTGGGCCCTAGGGCACTAGTGTGCAGCGTGGCCAGGAAAGACCACCAGCCGCTCAGGCTCTCCGCAGGTCAGTTACCACTCCCGACACTGGCGGTGTCAGCATGGGAAGGAAGAGGCAGTCCAATGGGAGGGCGTCAGCCACTGACACTGAGCTCCACCCACAGGTACATGGCCATCGTCCACCCTTTCCAGCCACGGCTCTCGGCTCCCAGCACCAAGGCGGTTATCGGCGGCATTTGGCTGGTAGCCCTGGCCCTCGCCTTCCCCCAGTGCTTCTACTCCACCATCACCGTGGACCAGGGTGCCACCAAGTGTGTGGTGGCCTGGCCCGAAAACAGCGGGGGCAAGTCGCTGCTCCTGTAAGGCTGGGGTCTGGGAGGGGTGTGTGCTCATGTGTGCATGCATCAGTGTCCGCGTGAGTGTGGGTGCTCGTGGGAGGCACACACATGGTATTACATGAGCACATCTTTCAGCTAACTACAGCATTGTGTCCAGATAAAACTATTAGGAGATCAGACCACATAGGGCCAGGCTGGGAAAAGATCCCAATTCAAAACTCAAAGTATGCTTTCTACCGAGTCCATGTTGCTTTTGTATCTGCATAAAGTCAAAATATCAGTGAGTCAGGACATCTTAAATTTGGAACCATCCATACTGAAAGTAGCACTAAGTCCCAGGCCGTTCTAAGCACTTTACATACATTAACCCATTTCACGCTGTCAACATTACCCAGCATATAGAATGACGATGATTCCACTTGGGGGTGGAGAAACTGAGGCACTGAAAAACTAAGGAGTGTGCCTATAACAACTAGGGAATGCAAAACAGGAACTCCAGGCAGGTAGTACTGCCTCGGAGCAACCTCATAGCCACTCTGGCACGTGTCTGGTGTGCAGTAAAGAGAGGACAAAAGAAAACAAATCCTGAGGTGGCATTTTTAGTCCAACATAGGCCCAGGAGCCCCAAGCTTGAGGATGTGCACGATCTCAGCCAATGGCTTCCAGGTAACCATGGCAACACAGCCACCACCCCACCCCGTTTAGTACCTCTTCCTCTCAGGACCCCATGGTCAGCGCACTGCCACCCTGCAAGATGGGGGTGGCCTTGCTCTCTGCACCTGGGAAGTCACCTTCACCTGAGCATCCTGTTCTAGGGAATGACAAGTCCCAAGGACAGCCCCTGCCCAGGGTCCCTGCTTCCACCTGTACCTCATCAGGGTGGGGACAGCAGAGAAGAAGGAACCCTTTCTGGCTGAGAGCCAGGTGGCCAGCAGGACATTTTGGACCTGGCCACTGGGTGGTGGGGCCACAGTGTTTCTCCACCTTTGTACAGGGCCTTCTCCCTGGGTGCAGTGCCAGGAAGTGCATGGGCTACCCGCGACCCATCTTCTGTGTCGAATTGCAACCCAGACTCCAGCAACAGGGAAAAACAAGAGGCCAGGGAGAGCTAGGAAAGCCATTCTTGCGGGTGGGAGGTGTCAGGAAATTACAGATGTCCCCCTCTCCAGCAAAATACAAATCAAAACACAAAAAGCACAGCCTAGGCTTGAGGGGAGGTCTTCCTGACTGGCAGATTCTAGAATGCGGCCCCCAACACTCTCTAGCTCCCCTTTCTATTCGAGCACTGGGCCCAGAGCAAATTCCCAGCCTGCAGAGTCCCCAGGAAGGACTGAGATCACTTCTTTATTCTATAGATGGAGAAACTGAGCTGGGGGAGAAACCCAACTTGCCCACAATCACATTTTAAATTAGAGGTTGGAAGCTGGTCATGGTGGCACACACCTGTAATCCCAGCACTTGGGAGGCTGAGGCAGGAGGATCGCTGTGAGTTCGAGACCAGCCTGGGCTACACAGTGAGTTCCAGGTCAGTCTCAACTACATAGTGAGACCCTGTCTCAACAAACCAAAAATAAATAAATAAATAAATAAATAAATAAATTAGAGGCTGGAGCCCTGTTCTTCTGAAAGGGAGATGGTTTGGGTCTTAAGTGTGGAAAGCTGTTTCCTATGCACAGACCTCTTGCCTCTCTGGACTGCATCCCCAACTCTGGACACTGAGGCAGGTGACCTGGTTTATTTAGAGGTCTCTCTACGTTAGGTGCTCTTGCTGCTCTTACACTCTTACCTGCTCAAGGAGAGGGCTCCACCAGAACTTCCGGAAGGGGGCCCTGCAAGAGTGGCACATGGAGGGGGAACACCCCAGCTTTCCTAGTAAAGAAAAAGGCTCCACAGTGGGGGTTGAGGGCTCGACCCATCCTTGGTGAAAGGAACAGGCTCCTGCCAAAGATCACTCCGCACACTGACAGAGCTCTATGAGAGATTTTATTAAAGAGCCTTGGTGGCCCAAGTGGCCCAGTCACTCGGGGGAAAGGGAACAAAGGAGAGAGAGAGAGAGGGAGCAGGAAAGGAGCTTGGTTATATAGTGGGTGACTGGTGTAGACAGGTCGGGGATTTTGTCAGCTGCACGGGCAGCCACCCAGGGGCCACTCTTGGACCTTTACTATGTGTGAGGTGGGGAATGGAAACTTTAAGGTGAAGGAGGAAGTTATTTATCAGAATGGCGGCAGCCATTTCAAGGCACTTATCTTAGACTTGGGGATCCCAAGGGTCCCTATCTGGGACCCCCTCCTCAGCCTGGGGCTGCAGAATCACCCAGCAACAGAGCATGGGACACAGTTCTCCTCCACACCAAAGAAGTGAGGAGCTTCAGCTCAGCCCGGTTTCCTCCCTGGGAACTGGGCTGTAGTGCTCCGGGTCACCTGCTCAAAGGTGGGCACACAGGTGTCTGCTAACAGGAGTGATGTTCCCCACAATAGGCTGACGGGCGGGTTGCTGAGGACACAGTGGTTGTTCCAGTGTCCCATTCCTTGTTAGGGAGGCTGGGACAGGACGGCACCTTTCTTTCTTTCCTGTTTTTGTTTTAGTCTCACTGTGTAGCCCAGGCAGGCCTTGAACTCGTGGTGAACCTCAGCCTCCTGAGTGCTGGGATTACAGGCGTGCGCCACCATGCCCAATAAGGACAGCATTTTATAACTCCAGCTGTTCCCTGTATCCATCCATCAGTGAGATATATAATCTGATGCATATAGACTCACACATAAGTACCTAGGCACACATAAGATCCTGGAAAAACAATGCCAGATCTCCACGGTGGTGGGAGGGGGACCAGTCATTTCATCTTCTCCTTTGTGCTTAATGGTATTTTGCACTTTAAAAAAATGTAAAACGTAACTCTTCACACCTATCTTCTGTTCCCTTCCCCCTTCCTCTCCCTCTTCCCTTCCTATCTTTCCTCTTTCTACCCTTACCTTTTTCCTTCCCCTTCTTCTTCTTTTGACAAGGTTTTTCTAAGGCCCTAAATTTTTCAGACTTGGTTTGAACTTGGCGATCCTTCTGCCTCAGCTTCCCAGCAGGCTGGAATTCTAGCCACAGGCCTCCAGGCCCGGTTCACTTATTTTTTTCTTTAAATCAAACGAAGGCCTCTAGAGGTGGCAGCAGGGTGGGGCTGCTGGGTAGAAGCTGGGGGTCCAGCTCCAAGCACAGACGTGGGAGTCGCCTCGGGCTGCGCGCTGCCCAGCCCCCTGACTGTCTCTCCAGGTACCACCTGGCGGTGATCGTCCTCATCTACCTCCTGCCCCTCACTGTGATGTTCGTAGCCTACAGCGTCATTGGCCTCACTCTGTGGCGGCGCGCGGTCCCCAAACAACAAGCGCATGGCGCCAACCTGCGCCACCTGCAGGCCAAGAAGAAGGTGAGGCCAGGGGCGGAGTCGGGGCAGGGAGGAGACGGGGCAGGGCCTTCGCTCAAGGCGGCTCCTGAGAGAGCGCCTGTAATTGCGCCAAACCCCGGAAGGCCCCAGAGCCTGAATTCCTTCCTCCCTAGTGGGTGGATCGGCTTTGGCTTGGAGGCAAATCCAAAATTAAAGTATTTTAGAACGTCAGAATCTTAAAATAGTAGAATTTTGGATAACTGAAATGTTGACCTTTAGAAGCCTCTTAGAGGTGCCCAAAGAAGGCTCCTGGGTAGAATCTCAGAGTATCCTCAAAGTGCTGGAATGACAGACCTTAGAGATCTGGAGACCGCTTTACAGTCCGCTTCTTCAAGTCTGTCTGTGATTTCTGTGGGAGGTTTCAATACCCACCCCAGCTATCCAGGGCTCCCCAAATGGTGCTGTTTATAGCATTCTTTGAGCCGACCTCCTCTGCCCTTCCCCAAGAAAGGCCGCACCCATTACGTGCTAGGCACGAGCCGGAGGCTCTGGGTGAATCCTGGGCGTGTAGCCAGGTCAAAGTCGTGGCTTCTCCCGATAGCAGGAGATTTTTCAGAACCGTTCAGCGGAGGCATTTGGGCAACAGCCACCTTCAGGGTGGCTTGCGGAGAGTTGTCTCCATTTGCTGGCCCTTGCCTTCCCTTGTTCCTGGGGTGCTGGGCACTGCAGGCTGTGCCTATAGAGGCTGGGCATTTGGGGTTGGGATCTGGGGGCCAAGACTTGGCCTCTGGGTGGAACCTCGGGATCCCTGGTTGGGGCCTCAGTGCCCACAGATAGAAGGGCTATAAGCAGATACAGATCCCAGCGCAGGTGCAGCCTGGGACCCCAGAACTGGAACAGGAGCCCCTAAGGTTAGGGTTAAACATGAGAGCTTATCCATATTCTAGGGAGGAGAGCTGTTTTCTGGAAAAGAATCTGGGAAGAGGGGCCCACACCTCAAAGGAAGGACAGCGGGGTGGGCAGAGGGATGAGCCTGTGCAAAAGCCCTGAGGTGAGGGCTCAGGAGCCTGTGGGCATCAGGTGCCCTGGGAAGTTGAGGCTTAGCCTCGGGGTCTGAAAGCGTAACCCAAGACTCTCCCGGAGCAGTTCGTGAAGACCATGGTGCTAGTGGTAGTGACCTTTGCCGTCTGCTGGCTGCCCTACCACCTCTACTTCATCCTGGGCAGCTTCCAGGAGGACATCTACTGCCACAAGTTCATCCAGCAGGTCTACCTAGCGCTCTTCTGGTTGGCCATGAGCTCCACCATGTACAATCCAATCATCTACTGCTGCCTCAACCGAAGGTGAGCCCACCCCAGCTCCCCCTGCCCCCAGTGCCCAAGAACAGGCCCCACATGGGCTCCCATCGCCCCATGTCCCTGCTGTCTCTTCTGGGGTCTACATCTGGGACAAGAAGGCAGGACCAGAGAGGTGGAGGAAGGGGGAATGGAGGGGGCCGTAGGACAACAGTGGGAGGAAAAAGAGTCAGGTCAAAGGGGAGTCGCGCTTCTATATTGATGTTTTCAAGTTTCCTCCTGAGGACTTACCTGGGCCAGGTGAGCAGCACATGAAGCACTGGAAAGGAGGCTGGGGGGCAGGATGGGGGAGTCACAGTGCACTCCCTCCCCTCTAGGGCAGCTGGGAAGTGACCTTGGCAGAGGTGGCCAGGGAGCAGGGACTAGGACTCACTCCTCCTCTGCTTCTCCCCACTGGAGCTGGGGAAGTGGACTCTGAGGGCAGCTGGTGAGCCAGGCAGGAGCCCCAGCCCTGGCATTCGTGTTCAGCCTGGAGAATCCCGAAGGTGGGGGTGGGGAAGAGGAGGGCCGCGGCCGAGTCTTGGCCCAGCAAGACTGATGTGGGTGAGGTGGATTTGATACCTCCCTGCCCAGGTGCCCAAGCTACTCAAAATGCCATAGGGGACTTTGGTGCTCAGACATCACACTCACCCGAGGCAGGTGGGAAGGAACTGATTCTTGGAGGGCTTCCTGGGGGCCCAACCCACTAGCTCCTGAGATGTATATAGGTAATAGGAAGAGTTCGGGTAGCCCCAGGACACAGTTGAGGAAACAGCCTGAGAAGATTCAAGCCTACAGGGACGACAGAGTGGGAATCCATGTACAGTGCATCTCTATGGCCTGTTGTCCTGTCTCCCATACACATTTCTCATGAGATCAGGGGAGGAGAACTTGGGGTGGGGACAGTCACTTCAGGGAGGGACCACCAGCACACCACGCTACATCACACAGTTCCCAGGAGGGTGAGCAACACCAGCACCCCTGGGCTCTCCATGTTCCTGGAGTCACCTCTGAATCATTCGCTCTTGATGCCACCAGCAATCACAGCAGTCTGGGGCTGTGGCAGGACTCTGCCTTCATTCAGAAGATGCTCACCAAGTGATGACATACGCCCGGCACTTTCCCAGGCCTTTGGGAGCCACCAGTGAGCAAAAGGAGACCTTTCTTTAGGGAGCTGACCTGCTGGGATGAGAAGAGCTGAACAGTGAACAAATGTAGTCAGTGGATCCCATGGTGTGCTAAGCAGCAGTGCCATGGAGACAAGAAAACTAGAGGAGCCAAAGGGTGACGGGAAGCGCTGAGAGCCTTTGATAGTGGGCAGCTTTGCCTCTGAGCAAAGGCACAGGTGACCGAGTCAGCCCTGTGGACTGGGCAGGCTCCAAGCCAAGGGAAAAGCTGAGGGGCCAGTCCAGTGACGGCCGTGTGGCTGAGGTAAGGACACGGGCTCTGAGCAGGGAGACAAGCTCTGACGGGGCTTAGGGACAGGCCTGGTGATGGCTTCGGAGAGAGATGCAGCCAGGGTCTGGAAATGGCTAAAGTTTTGGGCCCGAATTTGACAGAGGAAGTGGCATGTGTGAGCAGCAGGGATGGATGATGGCAAAGATGGCACTGTCAGGCGCCGAGGATTGGAGGACAACTGGGAGCTTGGGTGGGGGCCCTTGGATGTGCGGCGGAGGCCACACCACGGGGTCCTGTAGAGCCACGCTGCAGGTGGCTCTTTTGGAACATGGAGTCCTGCAGCCCAGGCGGTGGCAATGCAGTTGTGCCCTCTCCTGGCTGGCTCGGGGCCATCTCTGAGCAGCCTGTCTTCTGTGCCAGTCGGTTTCTCCCACTTACCTCTTCCTCTCCACTCCAGCCAATACTCGGACCTTTTTAAGTTAATGCACCCAAACTTGGTGTGTGGATTTTCCTTTGGAGCAGTCTAGAGAGCATCTCTTAGCCCCATTTTTTAAACAGAGTTCCCTTTGAATACTCCTGTAAGAAGCCAACTAATAAGTCAAACAAAAGTCTGCTGCTCTATTGTAACTGTACATGGGTTCTTTTTGTTTGTAGTAACAAATAGCCTAGGTCAGCTTAATCACCCACTTCAATCACAGATGGAACTCTAGACTATCCAATTCACAAAGGAACGCATCTCTCAGGCAATGGTGAGCTCTTCAGAGTGACCAGCTGCTTTCCTGGGGAGGGGAGATAGTGTCTGGGGCTGGGCAGTCCCATTACGGCTCCTGTACCCCTAACTCCCTGGTTCAGGTTGACCCTCCCTCCTCCAGGTTTCGCTCCGGATTCCGGCTGGCTTTCCGGTGCTGCCCGTGGGTCACGCCAACAGAGGAAGACAAGCTAGAGCTGACTCACACCCCATCCTTCTCCTTGAGGGTCAACAGGTGTCACACCAAAGAGATTTTGTTCATGGCTGGAGACGTGGTCCCCTCTGAGGCTACCAATGGGCAGGCTGGGGGTCCCCAAGATGGGGAGTCCGTGGAGCTCTGAAGTCTTGTGACTGGCAGCAGGGCAGAGCCCAGCACCCCTGGAGAGGCAGCCAGTTGAAGTCCAGATCTGACAGCTTGGCCATGCACAGCCTTCAATCCACCAGTGGGAAGCAAGATGGCCCCAGGAACTCTACAGAAGATGCAGGCACTATGAGGACTCGGCCACCCATCTCAGAGCACTGGGGACCCAGAAAGGGTCAGAGAAGATACTGCAAAGCCAATATTTTCCAAGTGCAGGAACCACAAGCTCAAATGTCTTCCTGTGCATACAACATAATGAGTAAATTAGATCCAGTTGAAAAGAAAAACTGCAAATGCGATGATAAAAAGAAACGGACTTGCAGCCTCAGCGCTGGGGTGACAGGGAAGAGTAGTGATGTGGCAAGGTGGAAGGCACAGGTACTCAGAGGAGGCTGCAGCTCCTTCACGAGGCACAGCTGTGTAATGGGTTATGAGTTGTATGGTAATGGAACCCACTGTTGCCAGATCTCCCAAGAAAAGCTGGAGTCCAAATTTGCATATGAACCCTCCAGGCTTTCTAATTTTGGTTCACAAAACCCTCTGTGACCTGGGGTGGGTTAAAGCCTCACCTGCGGGCAGCACACAACCATGACGTGGATTCGTTGTGAGGCCACACTAGGAAAGAGCCACCGTATTTTGCAAAGCCCATCCGCTCTGAGTCAACCTGGGGTTTCTCTGCCTCAGAAGCTCCGAGGCCAGAAACAGCCCCAAGCAGATGCAGGCAGGAGTCAGTCTGACCTCCAGCCTCTTCTGCCCAGTGACAAAAGCACCACCCAGGGCTGCTCTGAGGATCGATGGAACTGATGCCTAGAAACCAGCAGGCCACACACAGATAGCCACGCTTGTTCTCTTCGCTCTGCCAGCCAGTGACCCTGCTCCCACCTCACTTGTGCAGCAAGAAGCTGGTGGCAGAGAAAACTGTACCAGCTTCTATAATGCTCTGGACTGTTCCACCCAAGGGAACAACTCTCCCCGCTTGCACATCCAGGGCCCCTCTGGAAGAACCATGTGCCACTGTAAATGCCCACCCAAAGGTCAATGTCGTGTTTTCCCCAGAGGTCACTGTGCTAGACACTGGGTACCACGGGTGCCTCCAATAAAAACTCTGGTCTCACCACACCAAGTGGGCACAGTCAGTCCTGGGGAAGCCGCTTAGATCTGCCCTCGTAGCTGGGACATCACAGGGCACCTGGATGTGCTGACCTGAAAGCCACTGAAGGACTCCAGAGGAAGAACCCCAAGCGGCAGCTTTGAGAAGGACCTGCCTGAGGCCCCGTGGGGTGAGAGGGGAGACGCAGCCAACCTGCCCCCAGGCCACCTCCACACCGGGTGTATGGGAGCAGGGCCGTAGTTCCTGGCTGTCCAGTGCGGGCGGGAGGGAGGTGAGGCTGCGTCTGTGTAGGGTGTCAGAAGGGCCAGGCTGCAGTTCTCTCACTAAACCCAAACAGTCCCTGGAGGCGGCCTCCCTTTTCTGCATTCTAACAAATAGAGGACAGAGGCCTCTTACTGTGTCCCTTCACGTGGGCCCTCAGGTGGGGACTGCAGAGGCTGGGGCTGGAGAAGGGGGCTGGAATAGGAATGGGCAGGGCAGGTGCTGGAGACCAGGTAAGAGGGTGCTTCCGAGACACTTCGCAGGGCCGGCAAAGAGGCCCTCACAGAGCCGGGCGTGGTGACGTACTCCTGTAATCGGGAGGCTGAGGCAGGAGGATCGCTTGAGTTCGAGACCAGCCTGGGCTACATAGTGAGTTCCAGGTCAGTCTCGACTACATAGTGAGACCCTGTCTCAAAAAACCAAAAAAAAAAAAGGAAGTCCTCACGGCTCAACCGAGGCTGGGGGCTGAAGATCATAATCTTTATTTTAAACTCTCCCCACCCACAGAAATCCCCAGCATCTGTCTCCTAAGATCTCCCCTCCACCAGTCAGGAAGCATCACCACTCGGGTTCTTGAATCGGTACAAAGTTTACTAGTCATACAACATGGCTCACAAAAGCGATGGGAATTCCAGTGACGCATAGTTCGTGGGCTCCTCTTACCCAAGTGGAGACAAGACACTTTCCCGCAGGACTGCCCACCTCCCCCCACGAGACACACGGAATGCAGGACTGTCACGACGTGGCTAGGGCTGGTTCCACGGACACACAGTGTAGTGGCACAGACCCACCCTGACAGGACGCCAGGCCGAGGTGGGTGCTGGGACAGGAGGAAGCAGTGACGCTATCTATGTCCACACTCCCCGCAGGCCGTGCCCCTGGGAGCGGGGTCCGGCAGTGTCTGCTGGTGATAACACACTTCACCCAGGAAAGGCGACCCTAAGGACGGGCTCTGGAGGCCCCAGGGGCCTGTCTGGTGGTCTGACCTTTCATCTGAGCCAACAGACAACCCGGTAGGAATGGATGTCGCTACACTTCACAGGTGGGGGACGCATGACCGGGCTGAAATCAAATCATGCAGAGTGGCAGGGCAGGCGAGGGGTCCAGGTGAAAGATTATCAACAGCACACACTCTATGGTGAACCCTACATTATACACCATCAGTCGGATTCTCTTTTCCTCCCTGCCGCGGTGTGGCGGGCTCTGGCACCGGGGGTGTCCCCAGCATGGCTCGCTGGAAGGAACAGGGGTTGTTGCTTTTGGAGAGAGGTGCTGGAAGGGCGGTGGGCTGGGGCTCCTGCGCTCTTAGCTGCTTGCTTCTCCTCGGAGCCGCACACCCACGGCCGTGATGAGGGCAGCCCCCTTGCCACTACCATCTTCAGACAGGAGGAAGGACACATTACACTTTGGTGACAGTTCCTTCACGGTTTGGTGCATGATTTTGGAGAAGCTAAGACAAAAAGAAAAAAGAAAAAAAGATGAAAAGGTTGGTGGGGGAAGGGGAGAGACAACACTCAGCCCTGCCTGAAAACACTCAAGGTCCATGGTCAATCCTGTTTCCACAGCCTCCAGCAGGGTGGTCCAACCCAGGGTCCCACAGACAAGCTGAGTAGCACAGCTTATGAGGCGAGGCTCGGACACCCCCATCTCAGCACCGGGGGCTCCCAGGGGCCTAAGGCCAGTCAGGATGTTGGGGCCACTGAGGCAGGCCCAAGAGGCGACATGGAAACAGACGTGGCCCATCCCAGCTGCAGAATTGAGACCCCACCCAGCACCACCCACACCTGCAGCAGAGAGGGAGCCCTCGTAAGGGATCTTCTCTAAGTCAGAAGTGACCCTAGGTCGTTTGGAAAACACAGGCCAGGATGGGGCTCTCAGCGGTCACAGCCTTGTTGAGCACCTGCCAGGTGCCCCCAACTTCTAGTTCTGGCAGGAGCTGTTACCCCACGCGGCAGATGGCAGAGATTAGGCAACTGCCTACAGCTGCTAAATGATGGGACCAGGACTGAATCCAAGAGTTCCTGGCCCCAAATCCCAGCCCCACACAAGTGACCTGTGCTGCCTCTGGTGACAATAAGGACAGCTGAGGAGGAGGAGAGATGGAGCGAGGCTGAAGACGGTCCCACCCAACCACGGGCAAGAGGTAAGCAGGTAAGATTTCTATGGAGCTGTGGGCCCAGTTTATCCGGGATGGTCCCAGAACAAACAATGAGTAGCATTTCTTAACCCCACTCTAGACAGGGTCACTCTGTTCGTAACATCAAAGCTTTGGGACATGCAACGAAGTCGCTCGTCCTTCAGCACAGGTGTCGGACACCTGACCAAAGGGAGGACACTCCCTGACCCTCCCTGCCTCAGCACCCGGGCCAGCACCGCACCTGCCCTTCCAAATTGAGACAAGCTGACTTTGCAGGTGAACCAAACACGGGTCCTCCACTTCTCTTAATTCCTCTCCAAACTTACCACACACAGCCTCCCTACCTGGCTGCAGCTGCTAAATCCACGCCTCCCCCAACTCCTGCCCCCTAGCACCACCCCATTTCAGGGGGGCCCAGCGATGCCACGGGGTGAGCGCGCCAGGTGAACCCCCTTCTCTGCTCCCCAAGGACTCCAGGAAACCTATCTAGGGCCGCTCATTGTCACAGACAGGCCCAGTCCCTGCAGGAATTTCCCTGGGAGAAAACCACACCGCACAGCCCAGAAAGCCTCAAGGAACGCTCCAGCCCAGCAAGCCCATCCCAGTGGGAAGCCCCACTCACTGCGGATGAAGCTTGTACAGCGTCCCATCCACTCCCACGGTCACATTCAGATGATTCAGCCCCCTGTTCTCCCGGATCTTGTCCACCACGGCGGCCATGCCGGCGCCACACAACTGCGCAGCCCTCCGGGACACCACCCCGCACACGGTCTTGACGAGGATACTGTCGTCGCACGTGCTGTTCAGACCCAGCTGCTGCAGGATGGCGCGGACCTGGAGCAGCGCTAATCGGTCACTGTGGTGGATACAAGCCAGGAGGCGGGATGAAGTGGGACCTACCTCAAGGACTGTTCCTACATCGATGACCAACATCATGGGGCTCTTCCTCGTCAAAATCGCATTGTTTTAAATGATCCCCAAAGTTCTAATGCTAGAACTGTAGAGAATCTGGCAAATCTAGAAAAATTAAAACCGGGGGGAAAAAACTATCCAGTCTCAACATCTAGGAAAATGCTATTAACGTTTTAGGACATTTCCTTCTAGTCAATTTTTTGTAGATGTTAAACAGCAGTTAGGATTTAGATCTAAAATTTCCCCCTAAAATTCTCCGGTGTGTGGAAGGTAACGGCATCATGGGACCCCGCATCCAACAGTGGGTTCGTCCATTGGCGGGTTCAAAGCTGAACTGTGCTGCTGGGAGGGGGCCTGCTTTGGAGGGGTCACTGGGGCGTGCCCTGGAAGGACTCATTCTCCTCCCAGCTCCTCCCTTCCTCTCTCTGCTTCCTGGCTTCCATGGGCTGAGCACGTTTTCCTCCACCACATCCCTCTACCACCCTATTTCTGTCTTGGATCCAGCTGCCCATGGACTAAAATCATAAGCTAAAATAAACCTAAGTTTTGGGTACCTGGTATTTTGCCCCAACAACGGGAAAGTGACTAAGATACATGACACTGTCCTTACGACATGCAAAATGAAATTGTTCTTCATATGTGCTTTTCTGTATTTTTTTCTTGATCCGTATGTCTGAGAAATTTTGTAGACCTACCTGAGAATAGGATTGGAAATAGCTGCGTAATAGTCCATTCTAGGCATCTACCATAATTTAGCCAGTTTGGAGTTTTATTTCTTTTCTTTTTTTTTGTACCAGGGACCAAACTTGTGGAGCAGTTTAATTTTTTCACAATTGTCTGCTATTACACAGTAACACTGATGAAATACCTTGCTTATGAATCTTTGTGTATAGGTCTGATCTTTTCTTTAGGATATATACGTGGGTCAGAGGCGTACCTCAGGGGATGTGGCCCAGTGGTACAGCACCTGCCTGGCAAGCACAAGGGTCTGAGTTCAATCCCTGGTACCAAAAAACCCCCCAAAAACATTACCAAATACCTTTCAGAAAACTGTGTTTACTCTTTCATGGATACAGTCTTTGGTCACAGATGTCCTGAGCAGAAACGATCACTTCTGAAACTTGTGAAAACTTTCAACAATTTCCTAAGATTGGCTTCCACCCACTGTGGTTTCATTTGCATCCTTCCCTATTAGTGAGGGGGGCCTTTTCCCACCATCCATTCATGGGTCAGAGGAACTGCCTGCCCCTTATAGCCCAAGACTTTTTCCCTGGGATAGTCATCTAATTTGCATTAAATTGAAAGGGACGACAAGACCAAAAGACCGACCAGCCTATTTAAGGGTTCTCTGTGTGACTGGGGTTTTTACATACATTACCTCATTTACTCCTCGGCCAAGCATTGTGTATATGGTTTTTCCCACCCACTTTAAAGATGAGGAAACCGAAGAGTAACTCCCAGAAACACAGACAGGGGGCACAGCAAGACTCTTAGCAGGCTGTTCCCTGCAGCATGTCCTACACAAAGCAAATGTTTCCCTCAGTTTACTGCCTGTCTTTTAAGTCTTACATACATTACCTCATTTACTCCTCGGCCAAGCATTGTGTATATGGTTTTTCCCACCCACTTTAAAGATGAGGAAACCGAAGAGTAACTCCCAGAAACACAGACAGGGGGCACAGCAAGACTCTTAGCAGGCTGTTCCCTGCAGCATGTCCTACACAAAGCAAATGTTTCCCTCAGTTTACTGCCTGTCTTTTAAGTCTGCTTGATCATTTTAAAAATGATTTATTTATTTATTTATTTTTTGTTGTTATTTGAGACAGGGTCTCACTATGTAGTTGAGACTGACCTGGAACTCATTGTGTAGCCCAGGCTGGTCTCGAACTCACAGAGATCCTCCTGCCTCAGCCTCCCCGAGTGCTGGGATTACAGGCGTGCACCTCCACGCCAGGCTCTGATTAATCATTTTTTTAAGCTGACAGAATCTAGGTAAATATATCTGTTAATTTTTTTCTTTATGATCTCTTTTTTTGCTAGTATGCTTCAAAAGACCTTCCCTACCACTTTACACCCATCAGGAGGTTTAGTATAAAAACGAAATAGAGAACATAACAAGTATTGGCAAGGATGTGGAGAAATGGTGCTTGTGCGAAGGGCAAATGATGCACTGTGGAAACATGTCAGGTCCTTAAAAACTTAAAAACGGCGGTGCATGCCTATAATCCTAGCCCTTACAAAACTGAGACAGAAGGAGCAAGTTTGAGGGCAGCCTAGGCTACATAGCATAGACCCTTGTTTCAAACTAAATAAATAAATAAACAAAAAGCAATTAAAAATGTAATTACCACAGCCAGGCATAGGGCGCAGGCCTGTAATCTCAGCACTCAGGAGGCTGAGGCAGGAAGATGGCCACTATTATGAGGCCAGCCTGGGCTACATAGTGAGTTCGAGGCTAGCCTGAACTCCATAGCAAGAACCTATCTCTCTCAAAGAAACAAAAACAAAATGGAATTACCATATGACCCAGAAATTTGACCCGTGAGTATATACATGAAGGGGAAAGCAAATATCAGCTCACCCATGTGCTTAGCACCATTATTCACCACAGCCAAAAGGTGGATAGATGGGTGACGGGACAAGTAAAATGTGGTATATACGTACGATGGAATACTACTCAGCCTTAGAAAGGGAGGAAGTCTGACACATGATGCCAAGTGAAATAGAGACACAAAAGAAGACAAATACGCTATGCCTCTACTTACACGAAGCACCCAGAGTAGTGAGAAGCAGAAAGCAGAAGGAGAGCAGCAGCCCCTCTGCACTCACCTTTCAATCTGTGAGAGAAACTTGGTCTCAAAGATACCCCGGGTCTTGAGTGTCTCAGAGATCTGCCCTCGGAAGAGGAAGCCCCTCTTGGTGAAGTCAATGAGGATGTTGCGGACGATTTCACCCAGGTACATACCACTGATCATCTTCTCATACCTGAGAGGGGAAGACGTCTGTGCCAAGTGGCCAGGAGGACTGGCAGCCCTGGGTCTCCGTCACCCGGGGCACCGTGAGGCTGCCTGTCCCACTCCCGAGCCTGTCTCCACGACACACACAGGCCACGATGCAGTGACCAACAGGCCCGCAGAGACAGGGAGTCTGTGTATGCGAGGTGCTCAGCCAAGTGTTCGGCTCATAGCTGCTGAGTAAGTGAACGACTGGGCCAAGGCTTCGAAGGGGGCGGGGACAAGACAACAAGGGAAAGAGCCCTCGATGGTGGGAAGGCTGCACACCTGGAAGGCTGGCCAAGCACACGCAGGGTGATAAGGCCAAGAGATAGGGGAATTCAGCAGCCACACGCTGCTGGGCACTGCATGCTCTTGGGGTTTTCAGTGCCCTGCCTTTTCTGTGCTCAAGGCCATTAAGAAATGACAAGGACCTAGGAGGTCCACAGCTCACACCCAGGCCAGCATCTGCAAGGCGAGAAGAGTCCTGGAAGCCGGATGTTCCCAGACACATTTCACACGGTCCGTGGGAAAAGGCAGAAGAGCAGGGAATGGCAGAGAGCCTGGTTCCCCATCCAGCCCGTATCGCCCCACTGGGGACAATCACAGTTTGTTGCTGAGATGGCTTCAAAAGCTTCCCACACTCATTGACTGCATTTTCAACAAAGCGGGTCATGGCATAGAGCCTCTGACGCGGGAGACGTGTGTGTGTGTGTGTGTGTGTGTGTGTGTGTGTGTGTCCTTCTTGAAGTGTATAGCACTCTTCTTCACTGTATTCAGGTCAGGACTGCCATCTAGTGATGCTACACTGGTCTTCCCTTTTTCTTCCTCCTCACTATATTTGAGAATACCTAAGCTGATTTCTAAAAACTACAAAGCAAATAATAGCACATGAAGGTTGACCAAAAAGTACAGTGTGTGCTTTAAATTACAGTAAAAGGCATCTTGCCGGGCCAGGGATGTAGCTCATGGACGCCACGTCTGCATGGCAAACGCAAGGTCCTGAGTTCAGCCCCCGGTACCACACAACAAACAGAGATACATAAAGGCACATCGCCAGGCACCCCCCTTGCTTCGAACACACTTGTCCCATTGGTCTTGCCACTTTTTGAAGCAGTGGTGGACGACCTCTCTCGTGTCTTTGAGATCAAAAATATGGTGAATACAGCTGCTGAGTGCCATCCAACGGAAAGGCTGGCTCGTTTAAGCATTACAGTGTATTCTCATCGACCTTATTCAGCAGACCTGGCACCAGGTGACTTCTGCCTCTACCCAAAGTCAAAATGACCATGAAAGATAAATGTTTTGAGTTGATTCAGGTAATCAAGGCAGCCACAATAGCATAATATGAAAGATGACTTCCAGAACTGCTTTGGAAAATGGCACAGGTGATAAGTGAGCTTGATGTGAGGGGGAGTATCTTGAGAGGGAGTAATAATCCCTATAAATTGCTAAAATTGAGCTTTAAAAATTAACCACTCACCATATTTTTGATCATACCAGGTAGGTAGTATTTAGAAAAGGTAAAAATCTTGAGGGGCAGGAGACCAACCGATGTCGGGAGGCGCTACCCCGGCCCTTCTTTCTGCTCCTGGGACATGACTTAGACCATCTTGGCCTGGCCGTGGCATTGGACAGCCGACTGCTGAGGACCATGCAGTTCATTTCCGGGTAGAGTGGACACAGCCGGAGACACAATCCCGGAGACCCGAGCTGCAAAGCTCCAACAAGCCACCAGGTGGCGAAGAGGCCACAGTGGGAGGACGGTGTGGGGGGCTTCGCCCCGCGATGGGGAAGTAACTTAGGAGCTGGCGGAGGCCGAATGCTTCCAGGATGGAAAAAGCTACTGAGGCAGTGATACATGCACTGTCACCTGTCCTCTAGGAGCATTCTGTGCCATCTTGTGCTGTGTCAGGGGCCCATCTCCCGGCTTCTCTGCTATCCCCAGGCCGAAAACCGAGCTCAGGAGTGAACCCAAGGCACCCAAGCCTCTGTGGAGACCCCGTATCTTCCCATACAAGTGGGACGCAGCCAGACACTCCCGTCCTGACCCTCAGCAGCCTCCTCAAACAGGCAGTTACCTTTGTTTCCCCGAGTTTAGAGAATATTCGTCCACCAATCTGTCGTACTCTGTTCTGATGTCATCCAGACACCCGTTGTCCCCGAAGGCGCCCCACTCCATGTTGATACACATCTGCCCCTCGCTCCCCTCCAGCATCTCCACGTTCTTCATCTCCTCCATGTAGCAGGCGTTGCAGCCGGTCCCTGCAACACACGAAGGGTGAGTGGCTGGGGCGGCCTGGGAGTCCACAGATACTGGGTGTGTTTTGGGGATGAACAGAACAATAGCTTTGCTTTCCCAGTGTTTTCCAGGAAACTTCAAAATGTAAGTGCAGAATCTGAGAGCATATGATTGACTTACTTTATGCCCAGAGCCTCACAGGGTGGCCTGCCAGGCAGGGCTATATTTATGTTAACAGAAGACAGTCTTACAGCAAGGGAATGTATCTGCAATGTAGCCAAGATTCAGACTGGAAGAAGAAAAAAAAAGATACACACATGTACATGAGGTAATAGAAGAAATAAAAGGCAGAAAGGAGATGTGGCAATCAGAACGAAAAACTGCACTTTGTAAGAATACTGCCAATTCTACGACAGCTGAAGTCCCCAAGACAGCCCCATGCCAACAGTCCTTGGCTACATTTACACCTCTTCCCTACCAGACCCATCACTGGAAGGCCATAAATTGGCCCAATTAAGAAAATAGTGAATGGGCTGGGGATTTAGCCCAGTGGTTCTGCTGCCTGCCTCGCAAGCACAAGGTCCCAACTTCAATCCCCAATACCAAAAAAAAAAAAAAAAAGAAAAAAAAAAGGGCCAGGGATTTACCTCAGTGGCACTGCACCTGCCTTACAAGAGGCAAAGTCCTCAGTTCGATCCCCGGTACCAAAAAGAGAAAGAAAGTCATGAATAGGAGCCTGGCCCTGAGATAAGGACAGCCCAGTGTCAACAGTCCTACGCCAAACATACAATCCCTTCCTTCCAGACCTGTAAATAGAGGGCCATAAACTGGCCCAATTAAGAGAGTAAACAACAGGTTGAATGAATCCAGAGAATGTTTAAATCACCTATTAAGAAAAAAAAAAAAAAAGCCAGGTGTGGTGGCACATGCCTGCAATCCCAGCACTCGGAGGCTGAGGCAGGAGGAGCACTTTGAGTTCAAGACTAGCCTGGGCCAGGTCAGTATCAACTACATAGTGAGGCCCTGTCTCAAAGAAAAGAAAAAAGAAAATTCGCCCATACCTGTGAGCAGGGTGAGACCTTTTGGAGGGATATGGGTCAGGGAGCACTTTTACCCCCTAGCTTTTTCACCCAAGAAAAGTATACATGTACCCAGTCCCAAACCAAAATATGACTCATATCTCTGAGCACCTGCACTCCTCTCAAGTGTCTGTTTCTGTCTACTAAACTCTACCGGTGCCCCTTTCTGATGTATCTTGAAAATTCTTTTTCTGTGGCTGCAGTCAGCGAGCCTGCCTCAGAATGGGTCACTTCTGGGAAACCCAGACCCAGCTCGGTGACACCTATACACAGAGACACATCTACATCATCAAAGTAGCCCCCTAAGACCTCGGTGGAACTACAAACTATTTGCTGTGCTAATTAAAGAGCTAAGTAAAGAAACTGAGAGGAGCCAGACATGGTGGCACATGCCTGTAATCCAATCCAAGCACTGGGAAGCTGAGGCAGGCTACATAGTAAGTTCAAGACCAGCCTAAACTACATACTAAGACCCTGCCTCAAAACAAACAAACAAGCAAAAAAGAAAGAGGAAAAAAAGTGAAAAGAAATTGCGAGGAGGCATTCATATAGCACATGACTGCTAGGACATTCGGGCTTGTTGTCACTGGACTTGAATGACTTATTGAATGGACCGAAAATTTAAGAACCACCTCCAAAGAGAGCCCCCCACCACAGACATCCTCATATGCACCTCACCCTGGGGGCCTGGGACCACGCAAACCCTGACTCAGGAGGCACTGCCTTCTAACAGGCTTTCCGGGATGCTGCGGCTGGTCATAGGCCACGCTTCTGGTCACAAGACTCGTCCTAGGTGGGATCTGGGTGACTGTCAACATCACAGAAGAAAGCGGAGAGCACAAGGACGTGCTCGCTGGCCAGCCCTAAAGTGCTTGGTCCTTTTCATCCCCTCCGAAGAAACGTAAGAGTTCGTAGACTTCAACTGTGTCGTTGGATTATTTATGTGTTGTTTCCTCAGCTCCCTTTTACCCAAAATATAAAACTAAGAGAAGATGAGGCCCAGAAATGGAAGGGCAGGAGGTACAAAGACAGCCAAAACATGTGCTCCGGCCCACAGGAGTTCTGGGCACAGACATCAGCTGATAGAGGAGAGAAGACGCTGGAGCCTGGTGCAAGGAACCAGCAGTGCAGCTGTTCTGGCTTGGGCTGCTTGACCTGACAGCAGGAGGCCTGGCCTGGAGGAGGAGAATACGCTGTGTCACCCCTGCCTTGCTGGCCGACCTAAGGGAGTGGCTGGGTGGGGAGAGCTTTGCCAAAGAAAGGGTGAAATAAGGAAGGATAAGGCTGCTTCCTGGTTCTCTGTATTTCAATACAGACCAACACAGTGGCTTAAGGACAAATTAAAAAGTTCTTCCTGGCTCAGGAGCACAGCCTATTGGGTCACATCCCAGGCTCCAGGCCCTCAGAGTCAGGAGGGGCGACGTTCCTCCCTATCCCCGCAGAACCTCCTCACGTTGACCATATTTGGGGTCTTTTCCCAGTATCCCCGATGCTAGAAGCAGGATGGACTGGACTAGTAGATGGCTTCCTCACAGCCTCAATTGAGGCACTTCAGGGATCGTACGCCCTTGAGGCCCAGACTCCCAACATGTGCAGGACACGAAGGAACGATCTGCAGGACCAGCATCGGTGCCTCCCTAAGATGGATGGGGCCACTTTTTTACACACCAGTCACTGAAGGTGTGAAACGGTGCCCAAGACCACGCTGCCCCTCCCAGCCCGACTCCACCCTCAGTGAATGGATGATGACTCTACCCAGAGCCCCCACACAGTTCAACAGTGTGGCCCAGAGTGCTGCCAGGCTAGCTCCAGGCTCCCCACCCAGTTCACCCAAACCACAAGAGCCTCAATGGCCTTGCTCTGGATGCTCAATTCTTGGCAATCGAATCACAATCAATGTGCAGCACTGCGGGTGTCAGTAAGGAAACCCCCTCAATGGAGAACTCTGCAGCCTTGTCTAGAACTGAGCCAGCGAGAAGGCAGGCTGGATGGACTGTCCCACACCTAAGGACTGAGCGGCTGTGTCCAGGCCCCACAAAACAACAAAGCCAGCCTTCTCTTCCGGGACACCCACCTACGATCAATCCAACCTCACAGCTGGGTTCCTCATAAGCGCAGGTCATCATGGTGCCCACTGTGTCATTGACCATGGCCACCACGTCCAGGTCGAATTCCTTTGAAAAGAAAGAGACACCCATTTAGGGAAGGGACAATTCTGCCTGGCTTGAACACTGCTGGTTCGCTATTACACAGCAACCACACAGCTGTGAGGGCTTTGCTCTGGTTTAGACGCTGCCTGAAGCAGGGGAAATTCTGCCTCCTGATAGGACCACTGAGTACTCTTACTCTGGTCTAAACCCCACACTGCCAGGGCAGTTGGGCTCAGCAGAACGCCAAGGCCTAGGTGACAGTGCCAGGCTCGGTGGTCAGGGTCTGCTTGTGAGAGTCATGATTTTACTTTTCCTTTAAAGATATCACTAACAATGCAAACTGGTACCTCTGGTTTTCTTGCTGCCATTTGAGCGAGGACCTGGGGAACATTCATGGCCCAGGACACACACTTCTGTACTGTTCCCATTCTTTCAAACAAGCAAGTATAAATTTTAAATCCCCACCACCTGACTCACAAGCGCAAGGTCCCGAGTTTGATTCCCATACCGAAAAATTTTAAATCCCAAAGAAGCAGTGAACAGTTTTTAAAACATCTTCTTAATAGTTACCTCTCTCCTTTTTATTGCATCCCTTAGTAAAGTGGCTACGTCATGACCCACGCAGTCAGTTGCCTTAAAGCCCTTTGTCCAAGTGACCAGGATTCCCTGGAACAGGAAGGCACAGGAGAGTCAGGCAATGAATGGTTCTGAGCAGAATACGACATCTTGCACCACCCCTCCCACCATATGACCGACGAGGGAGGGAGGGGGGAGAGAGAAAGGGAAGATGGCAACACCGGACAATTCTCAGCCTAGTGCTGCCAAAGGCGTGGCCAAGGACAGTACTTCCCCTGAAGAAGCTTGCCAGCCAAGTAAATAACTAAAGGGACCGACATTTTAGTTACAGTAACAAGTAAACTTCAGGCTTCACGGGAATGAAGAAGTACAGCTGCTGGGGAAAAGAATACCACAATATGTGCACACTATGAATATAAGGTAATGGTACAAGAAAGCTTTTTTGCGGGGCCATTGTTGTTTTGAGACAGGGTCTCACTACATAGTTCAGGCTGGCCTTGAACTCACTTTGTAGCCCAGAATGGCCATAAACTCATGGTGACCTTCCTGCCTCAGCCTCTTAAATGCTGGAATTACAAGTATGTGCCACCACATCTGGCACTGAACTACATTTTTAAAAACTATTAAATTTTGGGGCCGGGGATTTAGCTCAGCAGTTCGGTGGCCTGCCTTGCAAGCGCAAGGACCCAAGTTCAATCCCCGGTACCAAAAAAAAAAAAAAAAAATCATTAAATTTTTATAAGCTGCACAGTGAAAAACATGTCATGCTGGACATGGTGGTACATGCCTATAATCCCAGCACTCGGGAGGCTGAGGCAGGAGGATCACCATGAGTTCGAGGACAGCCTGGGCTACATAGTGAGTTCAAGACCAGCCTGAATTACAGAGTGTAATCGACCCAACCAAAAAAAAAAAAAAGATATACATGTTTACATGGATCCATCCGCTGAGCTCTGAAGGGTTTAAGAGGTCCCATGTCAGCACAGTGACTATATTACATCACCTACCTGGCTCTCCCAAGGTGCCACTCATGTCTTAAACTCAGGCCTGCGGCTACCTCCCTGGCTGTACCCCCACCTTTCACACACAGCTACCTGCAGCTCTCCAACAGACAGGCTCAGGCTTGCTGGGTGACTGCACAACCTGCTCCATCTGCCCACAGTGCGCTCTACCTGACCCACCCTAGCTCTTCCTGCACAGGTGCCGGAGCGGTGGAAGGGCGTGGCTTCCCCACAAGCTGTAACCTCAGCTCAGCGCCTAGAGCTCAGGGCCCAGGGGGTACTCAAGCCCCACCTAGGACCCTGCTTCATCCCATTTACTCAACAAGCACGTATGAAGGGTGTCCTCCAACACAACACTGTGCTAGGCGTATGGGCACACAGGTCCTTCTTCAAGCACACGTAAGTGTGCAAAAAGTACAACACTCAAAAGCGCAGGGAGCACTGAAGAGGAGGTGCCGTGTGCCTGGAGGCCCCAAACACTTCCCAGAAGACAGTGCCCTCAACCGTGAAAGCGTACAGTCTGAGGGCATTCTGGAAGGAGTCAACCCACCGTGACATGGGAACCAGTTCCAGTTAGAGGCATCACGGAGGCTACGGATGGCCTCCAGGGCACTGTCCTGAACCTCGCGCCACAGCAACTCACCGCGTCCAGACTCGTCTGCTTGCAGGGAAAGGAGAAGGTGAAGCCCAGAGGCATCCGGGGGCCTTTGATCCCCATGTAGTCCAGGAAGTCGGAGATGCACGACACAATATGGTCAAAAAGCTTTAGAAGACAAGAGGGATCGTTACCCAAGCTCTCTCATTTCACACTCTCACCGGGTACACACACAAGCACGCAGAGCCAGCCCTTTCTCCAGGGTCTTCCCACCACTGCAGCATCACAGGCCACAGGGGCACACATGCACAGCCCTGGGCATCACATGGCTGCCATGCTTCTAGCCCTGTGTGTGACTGACACCGCTACGGGGTGTAAGGGAAGAACGCTCACCTCTTCCCCTGTGCCCTGCATGATTTCAATAGGAATGGCATAGATCTTGTTATGCATTTCCACTGTTCTCTTTTTCCCACTACGAATCTTCACCAGCAGGACACGGAAATTCGTTCCTCCAAGATCCAGGGCCAAGAAGTCACCATGCTCTATTCAAATGAAGAACACAAAGAGTTGCCACAAATGGCTAGTGTCTCCTGCTAGCCAGTGACCCCAAGACTCCAGACTTGCGAAGGGAGATCTGTCACCCCCCCTCCCTACCGAGTACACAGCACGGGCTCAGAGCAGCATGGGCCCTAAACCACTGAGCGTACAAACTGAGCCACTGGAGGGACCAAAGGCCCTATCAGTGAACCACCTGTCATAGTGAACAAACTTCACCAGGGTTACTGAACAGCCTAGCAACAAGGTCCTGGTTTCAGGGGACCTCATACAAAAATGGCCACATCCCTTGCCTCCTCTGTAAGCCAGCCTTCTTTGCAGTATGACTGCTTTCTTCCAACCAAAAGATGGAGTCTGTTTCTTCTCCCCTTGGATCTTGGGCAAATCGAGTGTGATGGACGCTGAGGTGGTCCCCAGCTTCAGCCTCTGTTACAGCTCGTGCCTAGATGTCTCCCCACGGCCTCATGCGATCATAGGTGGGGTTTTTTAGAGGTGGCCGGATGGAGGGTGTGTGATTCTGGGATCAAGGATATATGCTGGGATTTATTCATGTTGTAATGTTAGGATTAAGGCTGCCCCACCCTGGGTGTGAGTGCTACCCTCCCCAAGGGTGGACAGCCTGGATAGGATAGAAGGTACAGAAAGAGGGTTGCTGATATCACTTGTTGCTTGCTGCTGCTTCGCTACTTTGCTGCCTTCTATGAGTGTTTCTCCTCTGCAATGCCCCTCTGCCAGGCCATCCTGCCTTGGAGCAGCCAACTATGAACTGAAGCCCCTACAAACTGAGCCAAGTAAACTTTTCCTCCTTTACCTTTGGGTGCCCAGTATTTTGTCTCAGCAATGAGAAAAGTAACTAAGACAGTCTCCCAGAGGTTTTGAAGTCTTTTTCTGGCCCTAAGGGACCCTGTTGCTGCCACTGTATGGTCCAAGCCCAGTGGCCCACTTGAAGATGAGACACACGGCCAGGTACCTTGCATCCAGTACCGACAAGAGTAAGAGCAGCCTCCCAGCTGAGACAGCAACCAACAGCAGATCAGGACCAAGCCCAGTAGAGATCAGCAGAGACTAGCAGAGCCGTCCAGCTAACCATAGACTCATGAGCAGTAGTAAACAGTTACTGTTTTCTGCATGCCGTTTTAGGGTGGCTTATAATGTAATAGTAAGTAACTTCCATGTAGGACATTCATTATCCTGCGAATCCCCACAAAAAGCTCTTCTGAGTCCCCACAGAGCTCAGCCCCAGTGAGAACTAGCAAGGTGATCATCAAGGATCGGAAGCCATTCTCCAACGTGTCTAAGTGTGAAGCTCAGGCCCGCGTCTCCCTCCCACACTACCAGCCAGGACTAAAGAAGGGAGCATTGTGTGTGAATTCATCCACTGGTGAACCTAGAAAAATCTCAGTGCCCTGTTTCCTTCTACTCTGAAGCATTTTCTAATTCTAATACAGCTTTGAAGAGAGCCCTAGCCAGGAAAGCATGACCAGAGGAATTTAATTGCTCTGAGCCACACATAGGACAAGTCGGTAGCGTGAATGGAAAACAGGCTTGAGTGAGCGCCAGTTCTTGCCGAATCCAAACTTCTCCCAGCCCTGCTGTGCCCAGGTCACCGGCCTGAGTGAAGGGCAAGGCAGCCCTACCAGCCCCTCACCAGTCCCGTCTGGGGTGCTCCGGACGAAGGAGGGCAGCATCTTGACCACCGCCTTGTCGTGAGTCTGCCTCCTCAGCCCCGCCTCCATCTCTGCTCGCATCCTCTTCTTCACCTCCATCAGCATCTCCTTGGTGAGGCGGAAGTTGGCCAAGGTCTCCTCTATCTGCCGGTGCTGCTCGGCCAGGCGGTAGGCCACCGCAGTCACCATGGCGGCCCCCTTGCCACTGCCACTTTCCGAGAGGAGGAAACGCACGTCGGAGTCGGGCACCAGGCGTCTCAGGGTCTTGTGGAAGCGCCGGGAATACCTGGGGAGAGTGTGGATGGGTGTGGATGTGCCATGTAGCTGGACTGAGCCCCCAGCTCCCCTTTCTTTCCCTGTGCTTTCATTCCACTCCCTTCATGCGCTTTTCTTTTTTCTTCTCATTGCACAAGTCCTATAGAGACACTGTAAAAAGCTAAGCATGCAGACAAATAAAAAGGAAAAATGAAATCGCCCATTCACAAAAAAGAGAGACTCTTGTTACATTGTGAGTAACAAATACCAAATATTCAAGATGTATTCAATACATCACGGTGGTCAAAAGCACAGTGTTCCAAGTCAGGCAGCCCACCACGTCTACTCGGGCGACCTTGAGCCTGTCTCCACCTGGGAGTAAGCGAGGGCTACAGCATCTCCCTGGGGGTGCGAACCTACGAACTGAACAGGCTCATTACAGTGTTCAGATTAGTAACTGGAGCGGAGGAAGAGCTCCAAAAACAGCTGCTCTTGTCCTTTATTTTCACTTGGCTCTTTCTCTGTCTCTGTGGCCCAACCTCCTAAAAGGCTGGTTGTTTCTAAGTGGCTATAAGAGGATTTGAGGCCTGGACCGTGACACACACAGGACTTGCGTTCTTCAGTATGGAGGGCTGCCTGCCAAAGGAAACAGGAAAAACAGCTCCCCAAAATATTAACGGCATCAACTCCAAGGGTTGGGAATCAGAATGACTCTATTCTCTTTATTACTTTTTGAACTATCTAACTTTTTCCCACTGAAATATCTGAAATGAGAAATATCTAATCAAAAGTTGTTTAAAATGTAAAGCTAAAAAAAAATAGATAAATAAACGTAAAGCTGCAAGCCGGGAATGGTGGTGCACACCTGTAATCCCAGCATTTGGGAGGCTGAGACAGGAGGATTGCTTGTGAATTTGAGACAAGCCTGGGCTACATAGTGAGTTCCAGGTCAGTCTCAACTACATAGTGAGACCCTGTCT